TTGCAGATTTGATTATTTTGAGGGTTTATTTGCTTCCACAACTGTTTTGAGGAAAAAATATAGTGTAGATTATAGGTGCTAATTCCTAATCCCGTTAACTCAGTAACTTAGTAGGCCAATCCCCCCCGTAGTTCTGTGAACTTACTCAGGAATATTCGAAAGTCAGAATACCTGTTGTTAGGAGGGTGTATTTTTGATAGTTGACAAAATCTATAAACTCGCAAGAGGCAGAGCACATTGAGAATTGAATGAGTGTATGTCGATAAGAAGTCGAAATATCTATATGTATTTTTTTGGTGTCAATCAATGGTATATGTAAGTTATCGATTTTCTGCGTTTACAACTAATGGGAGGATAGACAAAGATCAAGGCGCAGACATGCTTCCTATCAGACACACACCTTTACATAGGAGGTTGATTGTCTAGATTACAGCAAGTAGGTAATAAGCAATTACCATAAGTTGGTTTTTATGTGTGGTAACACTCGTTACTATGACATTTGTTCAGATTATAGTGACAGGTATGGCTCTCTGTGTAATAAATTCGACAGTAAGCTGTATGAGGTATGAAAAATACCGGCCATTTTTGTTGAGAAGTAGTGTCGTGTACAGACGTGACTTCCCTGACAAAAGTAAGTGTAAAGGACTAAACTCAGGGTAGAACTCTTGCGTGACCAAAAGACTTTCGGAATTCTGCATGGTTATATACAAGCATTAATCTCCTTCCTTCTTTGAGTGTTTAAGTTCGTGTCCTTTGAGTGAACAACCTCATTTCTAAAGTAGTTAGATCTTGAAATTCACCACCGTATGAGATGGTCAAAGCAGCATCTACTAAGTCCTAACTTAGTACTTCCTTAAAGGCTTGAAAAACTTCTTGCATACCGTCCACAGCTCTAAGAAATGACCTGAATCAATCTAAAGTATCTAATTCTCAATACTGACTAACAAACAGAGTTGGAGGTAACCGAAACTTCTGGGTTGATCATTACTGCCGCAACACAAGTTTAGAACAATTAATTAGCCTAAAATAAATCGCCATCAGTACTATGAACATAAAATTCCGCCTCTGATGGCTACTTTGGCTTGAACTAGGAGTTCTGAAGTTCGAGCTCCCCAAAAACAGACAGATGTAGGACGCTTGAAATCATACAAATCCTCTTGCTTGAATGAAATTCAACTCAGAGTTGAAGAACAATGCGAACATCCATTTTGACCTCATTTGCTACTCCTTTTAGTTCTTCTTTTGTTAAAGACAAACTACAAGTTGGGAATCGGTTGTGGTTACAAATATTTACAAAACGGATATAAATGCAGTGGCTTATAGTCACAGAGCGTTTTTTCGGCTGCAATTAAACGCAACTCAATTTCGTAAATGTGCCTTTCAACTTAGCAACCAATCAGAATGTGGCGGGAATTATTATATCAGCCATCTTTGTACGTAATGGCGGCCGGCTTTCTTCGTTCTGTGCTTCTTTTAGCTATTTCTTTTGTGTAGCTGTGTAATTAATGTTTCAATGTGCTAAGATGCCGCAGTTAGTGTAGGGTTCTACATGTTGGTGTGAAATTTACTTCGAATCAGCATTTTTTTGGGTTTTTGCCGCTTCTACTCTAGTCAATATATTTCTTCAGTCAAGCTAGTTAGTCTTATGTTTTAAAATGGAAATCGGTTTAGTTTTGACTTGTTCTCAAGATATCAAAAGCCGAAGTTCGTTTTTTCTTAGCTGAAATAACTGTTGCTTCGTCCTGTGACTGACTGTCCGTCTGTTCATTCCTAACTGTCCTCTATGATGTTATTGGTAAAATGAAAGGAAACAATTTCCGGTTTTTAATTTTCTTCAGTATTGCGGACAACAATATCCCACCAATGAGTCAAACTAATACTTAGTGCCTAGCCGTAGGGGATGTCAGTATTGTTTTCGAAAGTACTCAGGCTTCCGACAACCATAGACAATTCACAGATGCTACCAATCTATTGCAGAGGGTTTGTTATGAAAAAATATGCCACATAGCAGTAATGGAGGGGTTGTACGCATTATGTAGTGCGTTAAAGCAAGCTTAACATTGAAAAGCAGTAAATCTGCTATCAGTGTGTAGTGTATGTTTGCTGTTTCGGCCACAAAAGGAAGCCGAAGGGTCATGATCAGGGAGTAAAAAGGTAACTAACTGTTATTAAGCTCAGCTTTTTATAGACCATAATTCACCACTCGCAAATTTGTTATTTTTACGGTATGATGTCAACCGTTATCTAATATGTTCACCTTTACGATGAAAAGTACTTGCAAATTCTCAACTTCATATTCGAATTAATTTGTGACAACTGTCTTCCAGTTTGAGTGCTTCGTACGCCCTGGGAGACTAGATTCCTACGTTATTCACAGTTCCAGTATAACTTTCTCACACAGTAAGTTCAAAGTAAACACTAGTCTTTCTAAATAAGCATGTTAAGCTAATATCCGTATTCTCTATTTCAGATGATCGATGAAGACATGTCCCACGTGCATCTGTTGTATATTGTTATTTTACTCCAATTCTTACTGTTATATCTTCTGAAAAATAAAATTGCTATATGCAGCAAATACAGACTTATTGTTTTGATGGTGGTAGGTGGATTCATGGGATTTTTAGCAGGACTGTAGTAATATTCTCAATAAAAAGCTAAGTGAGTGCGTAGACCAATCTAAAGTACCATACAGGGTGCCTTTAAATTACTCGTGTTCCATTAGTGTCGTTAGAAGCATTACTTGCTTATCATATGACATTTGAGTAAGAAGCTATGAGATTAGACGCAGGGACGGTTAGGATGTGTAACGCGTGTCCATCCATCAGTTTTCGTGGCAACTCATGGTGGCTAGAATAAGTTGTGAGAGGACCCAAGCCTGTAGGTTTCCCAAGAAAGTGACGGAGATATGCACCAAATCACCTTATGAAGAGCGCCTCCAATCACTTAACCTCTACTCATTAAAGTATAGACGTCTTAGAGGTGACCTATTTACTTACAGGATCCTTAACACTTCTGGACATTCTCTTAAACACCTATTTGAGCTTAGTCCCAGAAACTAGAGACACGACATAGCAGAATGGACTGTATACGCGACTTCTACTCCTTAAGAGTTGTCGAATGCTGGAATTCGCTGCCCGCCGAACTAGTCCAAGCGACTTCCCAGGAGTCCTTTGGGAGACGAATGGACCTTTTATTGTTAACATACCTAGGTTCCTGCTTGGAGGTTTTGGTGATGCCCTGCTACTAGACACGGAAGCCTGAACACATGAATAAGGTGATGAGAGGCTCGATTGTCACAAGTTTCTTGCAACGATTAAGTAGATAAAACAAAGTAGCATTAGGTTCAAAAATTTATTCGAGAACTTTCATTAAGAATCGAATATCAAACAAAGGTTTAAACCAAGTTCCAGTCTAAAAGTTGCATTTGTAATGTTAAGCTGCAGTTTTTGTTGTTTTTCCAAACGAAGGGTAAAAGAAGTAACTCAAAAAGTACTGGAAGTGGTTGTGAGATTAAAATGGACATCCAGCATCCTTTTTATAATCTGCTGTTAGTTGGGTCTCCCGTAAACAGATCCATAGGGCCATAGTTCTAAGGGCGAAACAGTTCTTAACATCTGTGAAGACTCAGTCCTGTTGCATTCTAAATGAGAAAACAGTAATGAATTTAGTCAGAAATGTGGAATAGATAAATAACCAAATTACATGTATTTTAGCAAAGAATTTATGCAGTTGTGATTTACCTTTAGTTCATGAATATTAGGTCAGGTCAGCTATTTATTGTGCAAAGCATAACATGGACTTAATACCGTATCTCAATGCTTTTATTATTTTGCTCTCATTTAAGTATTACCATGTATCTGCATCTAGTTTAACAGGGAGACATACAAGCAGAGTTAGTGTTTGATGAACTAAAAGTCCTAGTTGTCAAAAAGATTCTTAACATTTGTCCACAGCCAACTGCATTTAATTGAAATACAGAACACTCATCTTCTAAGACTGTATACTGCTCTTCTACGGGCAAATAAAAGCTCAGATACTTAGCTATCCTGCTACCGATGTTGTTGCTGGGGAAATTGTTTAATGACAGTGATCATGAAATACGGTCAGTGATAGATGTACAATCTAGAAATAAACACCAAACATACTTATCGCTATCTTATAATGTATGACAGCAACAGTACCAAAAGCACTTTTTTCCTATTTTTAATCAGACTGATTTGAATCAGTATACTCATCAGAAACAGGCAACTCTACCTACTAGGCTGATCTGTTTCGTTACAGATTTCAAGCACTATACTTAAGTATACCATAATTCTTTCAACTAAACTGAATTGTACGACAACCAAGAATACTAAACTAAGCAAGTGTCATAGTTATTGTTTCATTTGCACAGGCATATTGCTTAAAGTAGTTAAATGGACATAATTAAGACGATAAAACAAAAACATGAAATATAGGCCAATTGAACTTACCGAGCAGAAGACAAAGAATATATATATTGCTTTCCGACTGAAAACAACAGGTAGTTGTTCATAAAAACATAGTTTATAGTACAATAAACCTTTCTACAGTAAAATCATGCACTGACAGTCTATCTGGAAACAATCAACTATGTGAATAAACTCACTATGACTTGAGATATCATCCCAGTATGCGAAGGACGTGCAGTGTAACGCAGTCGAACGTGGCGAATAAAAATATAAAAAAAGATCAAAATTAGCTATATAATCTAGTTATTTAATTAAAAATACATTATGAAATGTCAAAATCTGTGGTTACTTGGACGCACAGATGACCGGTACATTAAGTTTACATGGTTGCGTTGCGGATAAGATCACCCGTTTTTTCTCATCTTAACAATCTTAGTTGGTTCCTAAGGCACCATCTACACAATAAGTCATGAAGTTCCATTCAGTGGGCGAGGTTGGTGGGATATGCTAAATTTTTCAGTTTTCAAAAAGTTGATATCTAGACTGCTTATCGTTCTGCTTGGAGGTCATTGTCAAGGCGCTAATTTTGTCACAGCACTTTCAGGGTATGGAGTTACAAAGTATAGAACCAGGTTATTTTACCATGAAAGTTCCGTCTAATTCTACACCCTTGTTTCTATGTGACACTTAAATATTGAGGGTAAATAGTGGCTTTGTATCAGTATCTGGTAAGATAATCAGTAAATGTGAAAGTTAGTCTCGTAGGTCAACCTACAAGTGTAGTTAAATTTAACTACACTTAAACCTATAGGATCCTGTAGGATGTATGCCAGAAGAGATATGATGATTTAGGCGTGGCATTGTGTATTTTATCTAATGTCTAGTTTTCGACGAGTATGTGAGTGAAACTTTAACTGTGCTATGATACTCAGGCTAAGGAACACTTAATCATTTGACTTTCGTTATTAATAAGTACAGGATACACTTTTGACCTTCGAAATACTACCGCAGCACTTTGGCAAACTTTGTTGTACAACTCCCAGATGCCTTGGTACAACCACATGGCCACGTGCATACAACCACTGCCAGGGAAGTCCTACTCACTGCCTTCTCGCAGTAAGGTGATGTTTACGAAATTGAGAGTACGAGTAAAGGGTTTCTGGCGCCTTAACCGTGTTGGTAGATATGGAGAGTTCATCCGGGCAAACTGGAAAACCCTGACTTCAAATTGATGGCGCATATGAGCTCCGGGCTCCTGAGTGAACAAATGGCGTATGAACCAATTAGTGGTCATAGGCTCCTATGGGGCTGAATCTCCTAAAGTTTCTCCAACGCTTTGTGGATTAGACCTTCAGACCAAAGGCTCGGGGTGTGGCCCCGCAAGAAAGCCATCTTCTGTTGGGCACCCAGGCAATATCCTAGCCCTCACACAAATCAGATGATTTATGTGGCGCATATCTGTTTGGTGCTTCTTTGTACCAATGTTTATGTGTTTGAATCGAATCTTCCGCAAACTTATTCGCAACATTATCACTTATTTTGTATGAGGCCCTAATTTACTATCATTTTTGTCATGTGTAGATGATGAAATTGTTTAGTATCATCCTACTGTGTGGTTACATGGGCCAGTACGTATACGTCTCAGGCTATACGCTGGCGAAGGAACAACTATCCGAAACGTTCCTTATTTCGACACCTATGAATATAACAACTTATGTTGCCAAGATGTTAAGTAGATGATTTATATGCAGGAAGATTGCCCGGAGAAACTACATCTAACACTTATTCGTAAAAGAATTGTTTTCGGTCCATGACCTCTTTTTGTACAATTAGAAGTTCCTGAACTGCTTAAAGTAAATTTTTCGTAATTTCTGCCGTTCAGCTATCCATAAATCTCGCATTTCCATTCTGTAACGATCGAGTAGATTTAAGAGATAATAAAGGTTAATCCCACGGAAAACACATATCAACAACATGTGCAGTTGCTCCCCAACTAATTTTTGTCTTACTGAGTTTTGACTTCTAGTGCTCAAACACCGTTTTTTTCTTCATTATTTCCATATAATTTCATATATCTAATGTCAACAGAAAACGTTTGCAAGACCGATATGTCCCATGAGTATTTAAAACGTTTTGATGAATTAGCCAAAATATTACGGTAATTTTTCTTTAAAACAGATTGCGTTAAAATCATCAAAACCTTATTTTGATTTCTTTTCACTCAAATGTTCACTTTAGATTATTTTCTAAACTAAATGGCTTACATTGATGTGTACAAGTTACGTCAAATTAAGTAGTCAGAAATGAATCGTTTGAGAAGAACATTCAGCTTTCGGAAACGAAAAAAGCAGAATAAGAGTGAGGCTGGTGATTCTTCGAAACCACAACAATGGCTAGACGATGAAGTGAAAATCAAGGAGGGATTCTGTAGTTTTCAAGTCAAGGTTTGTTCGAAATATTATATGTTACATGTTATTTTAGTATTTAGGGAATATTGAAGTTTATGAATCACGAGGAATGCAAGTATGTGAAGAAGCGATTAAAGCTCTAAGAAAATCAAAGGTTTGTCATATTTTCTTTGGTTAACATACAATGGTATTTCAAAGAAACCGCAAAAAGCTGTTTTATCTGTCAGTGGTGATGCTCTACGCGTTTCAGATGACGTTAGCCAGGTGCTTTGAAATTTTATGCATTTATTTTTGTTTTAGCATCTCATCGTCGATCAGACAATTGAAAAAGTTTCATTTTGTGCTCCTGATAGAAATCACGAGAAAGGATTCGCATATATATGTCGCGATGGAGCTACCCGCCGTTGGATGTGTCACGCCTTTCTTGCCGTCAAGGAATCCGTAAGCTTTTGAACATGTAGTAGATCTATCTACATTTTTGTTATGATGGTATATAGATGCCTTTATAAAATATTGTGGTACGGTGAGTAGCAAGAGTATCGTGTTCGTGCTGTTTCTGGTTGGATTTTTTTTGTTCACACGTAACATTTAAATGTACTTCTTATGAGTTGATAACGCTTCGCATTTATGTGACCAGTTTTTCACTTATTGGGACTATCATATTTTAACGTTGCTTTTCCGTATTGATGAAGTGGTAGCTACTTTGATGAAGTACTATGTTTGGTATTTTGTAGTTGGAGGTATTCTGGAATAAAACCTGAATTCTGGTTTCACTCCAGTTGGAACTCATCGGGGTCACGTTTTCACTATCTTTAGCAAATTGGTGTAACTCTTGGGATTTAGGTCTGCTTAATCGACTATCTCAGTCAGTGATTCTGAAGATGTGGGGGCACTTATCACTTTTTGGTTACTTACATCGTGGAAAGATACTCTTTCTTGGGGTACCTGAAAACGAGTAATCTCAGTAGATAAATTGCCATTCTATTAGTTATCATCACCATAAGACTTGTCCAAGTTACCACATCGGTGCAACCATCAAGGAAGTTGTTAAGATGAGCAACAAAGAAAAGGAAGTGATCTAAACTGCATTTACAATCTTAATGTAGAAAATGCAGTAACAAATGAACCAGTGAAATCAAGCAATGAAGAGTTTAAAATATCACTTAATATTTAGATGAAGATAAAGGATTGATGCAACTGTGTCACTACTATCGAGTTCACACTATTTCATCGTTATCAGTTGTTACAATCATTAATGATTCTATCATCTTTAGATCACGTTACTTACGCCCGGCAACCACGATGGACAGTGGTGAGTAGAACAAAAGTGATTTGAGATGTAACTGAGGCCTACCAGACTAATACGAGGTATCAGTTTGTGATATTTCCAGTTGTATTGGCCCGGGTCGCGAGGTGCTGATTTCCAGTCACTGCTGATATCTAATATGACGGAATGAAAAGTCGAAATTAGATTGATTTACTTATTATAACTTTTGTTCATCATTAATTCCGTTTTAGTTCAATGTGATGATTACTCAGTGTAGTATTTGTTTTGTTTACCTGTATGACATTTTATCCTGTATAACATACGATATCCTTGTATTAAGTTAACATGAACATGAGCATATTTGTTATAATTATTTTTCATATATGTGGTTCTATTCTAATTATTAATCAAAAATTGGTGCATGAATCAATATATAAACGAGTATTTCCGACTAGACTTGTCGTGGTTTTTCGTGCTTCTGGCTGCTTGTGGGATAAATTTTCCTCTTCCGAACTTGGACGTCTCTCTAGTTAGCTGGGGCTGAGACGCGTCAGAATAGCTATCTTATGTCATTGTGTCACAGAGTCTTCGTTCCATTCTCAGATTAGGTGAACTCGTAATCTCTTCAAATATAGGAATATCAAAAAGTAATAATCGGTTTTGTCGGTAACACACACATGATTTGTGTCTAGTGGCATGAGATATTTTATGGTATAATTTAATGACTAAGGATACACTTTCCTCAATTAAATTTCTGCTAAAGCTCAACATTTTACTCAGCGAATTTTCAAATTCCTGCCTGAATACAGGGTGAACGGTTGTCTCATGCTGTCGGGTGTGCTTTCGCTATATGTTTGGAGAAGAAACAAAGACGCGAACGAGATGCTCTTCAGTTGGAGGCTTCAGATGATCGTCCAACTTTCGCTCGTGTTGGATCGTTTCGTCCGGTATGTCAATGAAACTTACATCTTAACCACTTTAAAGTAACAGAATCATAATCCTATTTTTTAGTTTAATTCGTCTATATGATCTAATTTTCGACTTGCTGTCGAACACTGGAAATGTTTCAATTTGTCATTTCAGTTGCAGTATTTATGTCAAGTAGAAAATAAGCCCAAAAATTGGTATCCGTAAAGACAGTCTATTGCTCTTAAGAGCTGCGGAAATTTTTGAGTAGCGATGGTTTCCTGGTCCCATCTTTAACATCCAAGCGATCGGTAGCTACTAATACTTTTCTGTTTGCATCCATTTTAAAGTTCGTTTATGTTCACGCTTTCCGCTGTAAACTCTAGGTTCAAAACTCTCATTGGTTTCTAGTTAGGTGGCCTGAAGGTTACAATTTCACATTTTCTTTACTCAATACGTTGAATTTACCCCAGTACTGCTAAGCGTAAGTGCACCAAAGGTAGAAAAAACAAGGCGATTCGGAAATATCTAGTGAGTTGTATTTCGTGAATACCTCGAATAAGTATTGTATTTGTCCTCACATCAAGTACAAACTTTATCATGTAACTTTGTTTTATTTCTTGACATACCAAAATGTTCAGCACAAATCGAAACGACAATATTGTGGGACATCCAAACATCCGTAAATGAAATGTGCATGGATTAGTCAGAGTATCTTGTTTGGTAAAAATTACCTGTAGTGAGTTATTCTATGAGAGGTGCTTACCAACTTATGAATACTTAGTTCCGAATAAGTTTGGAGTTAGTGAATAATGTTGTGATTTTACATTGATGCCTAAAATTCGGTATAAAAGTCATATACATTCAAGTATATCATAGTGAAATATCCTTGCTACTAATATTTTTCCAGTTTGGATCGTTTATAAAAAAATCCCAAATAGATGCTTCTTTGTTAATATTATCATCCTATAAACCCTATAACTAATTTAATAAAAATATCTTAATCCTACAAGAAGTCAGTCAAAACCCGAATAGCTCAGTCATGGTAATGTTTCTGATTGCAAAACTAGTCAACGAGGAGTCAAGTCTCTGTGGAAGTATCGATTCTCTCTTATTTCCTTTTTTACCCTGATGAATGTCAATCAACATGAAACTCAGTTTTACGACTTCTTGTTGATTGCATCCAACCATCTAACATCAGACTGTATCTCATAGCGGCAAACATATTTTCGATGGGGCAACACAGTAAATAGTTTCTAGGTAATCTAGAACATAACCTACAAGTAGGGCTAAGTATCAGTGCACGAGACCGAAGATCTATGGTTCAAACCCTTGCGGATCTGTCTTGGTTGCTATTGCCTTTAATCCATATTCCGTTTCATTTAGCATATTAAGAGAGAAAATAAGCGACTTGGAAATGATAATACGGAGAGAAAAACAAGAGACAAAAGTACATGAAGTCTCTTTAGGAATATAAAAAATGAATATATTTGCACCATTGTTGATTAATTTGAGCTACATATGTTGGAATTAATCAATTTTAACCAGTTTATATTTCAATGTTGTGTACTTGATGTCATATTAAAAAGTAGGAATACGACTAGAAATTACTTTGATAAGACATATAACTATGTATTAACTTGGTTATGAACAGCGATCATAGCTTTTGAATGAAAATGAGTGATTCGTCGATGGCGTCAGTCTATCTATTAATTCACGATTATAATAGTTGTAGTTCTTTATGTTCCATTGTAATATTTTACTTCTGTTTGTTTTTAACAACGTATGATAAATTCTTCCCATTCTATGAAAGGCTACTCTCGCCGAACGGCTACTGGATCCTCAGTCTACTATTGTTGTCGACCCAGTGCCAAAACCTAATAATATATCTTCAACATCACCTACCACTATAACTCGGGTGTCTTCACCAGTTAACCATACTGGAGCTATCCCACGACCCCATGCTAGTCCATCAATTATTGAGCGACAAGTATGTACTTTTTGTTTGTTTTATTCAATATTTTATCAACATAAAAACGCGTCAGTTTGATAACTGCACACCGTATTTAAGTTATTATGCAAGTCAGACTATTCATTGGATTTAGCAACAAAAATGCCAAGATATGGAGTTAGTTTAACAAAGACTATACAAACGATGATTGCTTAGTGACTACTAAATAATTGCAAAGAAACAGTGTACAGATGTCAGCTAGTTATCAGAGGGAAGGGCTTGTAAATAGATTATTTTGGTGATTAGTTAATGGATTAATTTCCAACAACTTTTTCTGTTGTCCGTAATAAACATGCAACATAGGTTAAAAAAGTCGATGACAAAAATGAATTTATTTTGGATTATCCTTTCGTGTAACAACCTATTTCACATTTCCATCTAATTACTACTATTATTTGTCATCGTATTTACTTCCCTATTTTGTTCTACATCTTCATAATGAAATTAAGTAGTTTTGTAAATATTCTTTCTATCTAATTTCAAGTGTGGTTTTCATCACGAAGTGACATCAGTTGGGGAGTGTTGAATACTCAGTTTGTTCTAAATTAGGTCTCGTATACACTATGCATCAACAACCACATACAAGATCAAGTGTTTCTAGGAACACTTCGTAATTTATGTTTTTTTTTGGTTTATACTTAAATTACTTGTTTTTACAAGTCAAAGTTGCTCCTTGCCTTCCAGATTCATGTTCTTTCTGATGAACTTTTTTCTTCTCTTGTTTGGTCACCTTATCTTTTGATGTTACTTTTCTCTATTTTCCAAGGTCGTTCCTTGAGAAGTTATCTGTACTCTAAATAGTTGTTGTATACGTGCCCTATAAATATTTAGAGTACTGTCATCCTGTATATCGTTAGGCCATACTGATCTCGTACAAATCATAGACTTGGTGTTTGATCTCTATGTTCATAGGTGCAAAACACTGTTCATATTTGAAAAACAAAGAAATATTTTAAATATGGTAGTGTGAATTAACCTATCGATTTCTAGTATATCATGTCAGTCGGTCAAATATGTTAATTTTATTTAATATATTATCGTTCTTCAATAGAAATAATCATTACATTCAAGAATGTATATACTTATTTATGTTTAGTGTAAATAGATTTATTTATACTAAATTTAGATAGATTTGGTTTTGTGAACAAGTCATGTATTTCTAAGAGAATTTTCAAACAAACATCCGGTGTTCATAATATCTTAAATACTTTAAGTTACCGATAATAGCAAAATCGAATAGGCACTTTTCTTTGTATTTGGGGCTTGATGTCTGTGTGTACGTTTATCCCTAGTGTTGATGTTCATACTAAGACTCAAGTTCAGGACCTGTTGTGTTAAACGTTGATGTTCTATCCACAAAGCTATGAAATAAATATAATTAATTTAGTCAGTAAGTATAATTACAGTCATTATTATTATTATTATTATTATTATTATTATTATTATTATTATTATTGGTAATGATATTAGTATCATTAGTATTAGTACTATCAGTATTAGTATTATTAGTATTAGTATTATTACTATTAGTATTATTGGCATTAGTATTATTGGTATTAGTATTGATATTATTAGTATCAGTACCATGAATATTATTATGGATATTCGTAAGGGTTCACATTTCATCGTTGTTGATGTTAAGGACTTCTTCAGTGTATGTAGATGTATGTTCTATCTGAGAAAATGCCGTGGTATCATCTGAAATTCCAAGTTAATTATTTCTTTAAACAATTATTTGGACTTAATAGTTTATCCGACACCATAATGGCGTTTGAAGCGTCATTTGCTGACTGACTGACGTGAAGCGATAAGTACTGTGTTGGAGTTTCAGTGTATATATTACTGGGATGCAGGTACATTCAACTGACAAGTTCTACATAGGATGAAACATGTGCCTTAGGCTCCACTGTCAACCATAATCCAAATTAATGATAAATTTAAAATGAAGGATTCTAACGTTTTTAAACATTTAGATCAGAATTTAACTAGAGATTTCTTCGTATTGTAAGTCATAGTTTCTTCTGAGAACTAAGTTTTTATACAAGTGATTTGTTGAATTTTAGAATTTACTTTCCCTTTCTAATCAGGGGTCGCTAAGAATATTTCCAAAATTACAAGAGAATAGTCCTTTCAAAAGAGATCTTTCATTACGTCTTGAAGGAGTTCCTTCAAATGTACGCCGTTTGACCGGAATAATTCAAAGTAGGTGTAAATGATTTATACAACCTTTCTTATTGATCATATTGTTTGTACTATAATTTATTAATGTTCTTTATAAATGTCATTATGCACATAGCATTCCATTCATTAAAGTTGAAATACTTTTTTTCTAGCTTGAACCCATAAAGGACTTAATTTTTCCAAATGGTAGTTAATGCCATTATACTTGTGTATAGTAAATGTATCATTTAAATAAAGCGTTTTAAGACATTTAGTAAACCGTAAAGTGATATTACAGGTTATGTAACCTCACTCACTTGGATTAATTATGTCATTTTAAGAAGTTTCATATGTTATTTTGTTTGTGGTAGACAACCTCTTGTGAATATCTGGATTTTTCTAAATGGAACGTGCTTTCTCCTACAATAGCAAGATGATATTTCGTGATAATGAACAGACTGATTGCCAACTACATAAATCAATTGGATACTCGTTAACTCTTGGATACTATTTAATCCTAATCGGTTTTACACTATATAAGTTTCACTCGCTGACCTTATAGCAAATAGTAAGCGGTTTATATTCCACTAAATGAAACTGATACAATCGCCTCTGTGTGTAGTTTTCTTGTAATTATCGTCAGCAAATGGAAGAAGCAAGACAACAGATACTTTGTCATGAACAATTATTACTCAATTGCGGTATATAATTTATATTATCAATTATTAAGCAATTCACTAGATAGTTTATGAGTTGTTCGATTACTGATAATTTTATGATAATAGTAAATATATTTTTTGTTATATTCCCAATGAGTATAAAATTGTATTTCTGACGTTTCGTGACTTGGTGTAAGCCACTTCTTCAGAGTGGTTTATCTACTCTGGTATCTGTGATATTTGTCACTAAAGAATTCTATGAGATGCGAATTTAACGTTTAATTCTATCGTTATCACAGTAATCTTTGATTGTGAAATCCGCTACACTTTGAAAACTACAAGGCTTTTTTGTGGGTCAGTATTCAACTTTGTTAAGTACTTCAATATCTAGTTAATGTGCATGCATTTGGTATAATGCTACGATTTTCGTTAGCCGTCATGCACAAGCGCGTTTATTAATTTGTAAGTTAACGTTTTCCTGTCACTGTACGAAAAACCATGCTGTTGGGATTGGTTGTGAGGAAGTACTACTGTAGCCAAGATGTCTTATTTAAATATATTCAGGGTTGGTATGTATCAGTATTTTCTACTTTGTAAGATATTTATTTATGTGATTATTGAGCTCACTGCAAGACAGTTATCATCACGTTGTTCATCGCTGTATCGAGAAAATTCAAAGAAGCATTTGTTTTATCAATTTTAATGTTATGAAATCATCTGATTAATTGTTAGGCGGTTTGCGAAAAAAAATTTCGAGGACTTATTAATCATGAATTTAAAAATAACGAACTGCATAATAATCATCACAGCTGTGGTTCTACTTATGTAAAAATAGTTATAATACTATAGTAATATAAATTTTTACAGCAGTGATGTAGAGTTGTTAATACACTTGTTATCTAGTGATAGTGTGATAGGTTCAGATCTCAAGCTCTGCGTACTTTGGTTTAGGAGATCAAGTAGTATCACTTATAATCTCTCAAAAAGTATGACTTGAAACTGTGCATAAATCTATACTTAGTTACTGAATTGGATTAATCAATGTATGTGGTATCTTTGTAAGATCCGGTAACAACTATAAATACCTTTGACTTTATTATCTTGGTTCAGTTTGATTGATGGGATGTTCAATCAAAGATTAACATACCGCTTTTCACTTTAGGTACATTCTGAGTACTTTAATATTGGACTTGATTTATAAACGTTTTGATTAGTCATCATTATATAAGATCCATTGAATACTTGCCATAAATCCAATTATTTTCTCTCCCGGACTCGGAAACTAACTCAAAACAGAGTGGATAAAGCTATAGTTGACAAATTAGTTAAAACAAATAATTGGTCGATGAGTATTATATTAGTTATTTATCTCATCATAACGTTATGTTCTAGTTAGCTTCCATATACGTTAAATTACTTAATTTCCGTAATATCTAAACGGGTTAAGTAGTCGTTGGTTGGTGGAACTATCCATTCAACACTTAAACTATTCAGTGGTATTGTAGTGTCTAACCGTTAATTCGCATTTGTGCTGGCTTTTTTAAAGTATTTTTCCCATTGAGATTATACAGTTCAGTTGGAGATATATTTATTTAGTATTTTACGGATTGAAGAATTATGTTACATAGACTATTTCTAACATCTTTAATTTGTTCCTTTTTATCTATTTTCAAGGTGCACCTATAGCGGAGGAACCAGATACAGAATTCGAACCAACAAAACTAGGAGTATTTGCTAAAAATAATGGGCGACCTGAAAAAAACGAATTAGTTACTGTATGTTCTACGTCTAATTGTAGCCCACCCATAGTAGTGGCCAGTTCATCTTCGAACCTTTCAATTATGAATGGTCTAACTGCAGTAACTCAATCATTTGTACCTAATAGCCAGTTTACAAGTGATTTCAATCTTGATCCTAGAACATCACAGGCATTTATACCTCCAATTATTTCGGATCCTTTTTCTGCTGCTCCAATCAATCCAGCTACAATACAACGGCACTATCAGATGGAATTGCAACAACAGACAGCCCAACAACAACACCAGCAAATCACAGGTTCTTCACTACTAGGTTCCAAAGCAAGTGTAGTTTACTACATAACAATATTTTATCTCTTCACTATGCATTCATTCATAATTTTAGTTTCACTTAACTGTATATGATTGGCTTAGAATACGTAAATGATATTTTCTTGTTAGTTGAAGTCAATATAATGAAAACTTAGGAATCTTTGTCATACTTTTTCATAAATATCAAACGTAAAACGATATTTTTTAGGTGTCATAAACAAACATGTTATTGTTTATCAGCAGGAAGTTGCTTGACCTGGAATAATTTATTAGTTGACTTATTATTTGGATTGTTTCATCAATCTTTTCAAGTAGGTGACCAATAAAGAAAACATGAACACGTTTATTCACACTTGACATCGTACCGAATCTTCGCTATTGATAGAAGTATTTACGTATCATAGTTTTAGTGTGTAATCTTGTTGGTTTTTATCGTGCATCGTTTAGTGGTTTCTATGTTTCAAAGTAAAAAAAGTGTCAAAAGTCAGTAGGTACTTAACAGTTGATAATTTTTCAACGTCTTACATTTACCATTAAATCACTGAGTGTCATACTAGTTATGTTTAAATCTCCAACTAAGTAAATTTTTTAGTATTTGCTAACTGGGACAGTTTGAATGTATATTGAATATGTTTGCTCTTTGACTTCCTTTGTAAATATACTCAGAGTAAAGCGATCAAGGTAAAACTCTATAAAAACATTGTTTATTTGCTTGTGTGGATTAGATGTGATATTAGTAGGCAAAATAGTAAGAAATTCACTGTTGGTTATTTTAGATAATTTAACTGAGAATTATTCACAATTTGGCAGTTGTGACCACTATGAAGGAACATGAAAAAGCGTTTATTCCACGTTTTATGCTAGTCGTTTATAGAGAGGTCGTTCCAGTTCAATAGATGATTTAACAATATAAATTGGAGTGATTAAACTATTATTTAAGTAATTCTTTGATGAATGCAAAGAAAGTCACGGGCAATTACCAACTCATTCCTCATATATCTCCAATATAAATCTGAATGGCTTAAATAATGTCAAATGACACCATATTTATCAATTATTGTTCAGCATTACTGAAGTCCAATACGCATCGAATATACAGAAAGGATTTTTATATGTATTTGTCTATAGTGATTTCACAAACTAATCTGAATAGGAACTCGTGATTTTATTGATTCGAACTTGGTTAAAACATCATTACTATTATTATCATAATTATTGTACATTTCACCAACATATTTAGGCACAGTAAAATCCGGCCATAAATTAGTTAAATCATTATTGTATTATTAAATTTTGTGTTATTTTTATGAATTGTTTGGAACGAAACCGGAAGTCAGGAGGATACTACGGTTAACTTACAATTTTCAGTATGTGCATCATTTCAATGAGTTTTAGTTATTTTATGGATAAAGTTTATTCGTTTATCATTGTAAATACATTTTTATGTTCTTTGCATGTAATAATGATAATAATAATTGTACTTTTAGGCTCCAACGGCTGTTGTTTCAACTATCAGTTCTACACCAACTTCACCATTTTTAGGTGGACCACCAATTGCTGCTCCAACTGTATCGACTAATACTTTTAATTCTAGTCCATGGGCAGTCACATATCCACAGATGCAACAATTTAACAAATCTATTATTCAGTATAGTTCAAATTTACCCAGTTCTCCTACTGGTACAGTGAATTCTCAAACAAATCTAACTTATCCTTCCAATGGTGTTTTAAAATCAGGTGGTTGTGAAGTTGTTAAATTATAGTTGGTGAATGCTGTTTCAATTCATGTTATTATTATCATTATTAATTTTCATTGTTATTACCTACTTATCTTCACTACTCTTTAATCATTTATTTTATCCCATTACTTTCGATATTTTTCTCTTGTCTCCTTACACTTATTTCATTTGTTTCTCTAGGTTCTACAAATCCATGGTCATCATCAATAGGATTGATTGATGGAAGAAACGTTAGTAATGCAAACTGGCAACCTTCATCACCATCGTCATTGCCACCTGCTCTTCTACCTCCAGAACCTGATTGTCTTTCGGATCCATTCGATTTAGGTTGGGTGGATAGAGCTACAGCTGGTGTATCGAATACATCAAGTGGACGAGGCATTAGTAATCCATTTCTAATTGCTAATGGGGGTGGTGATGATATCCCTAATTCAAATGCATCATCTGTTCATTAATTAGATCAACCATATGATAATAATAATTGTTGTATATAATATATATATATATTTTTCTATCAACAAAAAGAGTGGGGATAGAAATCTGCCTCGTTAATGATCAATGATAATTAGATTCTTCCTCATTATTATCCCTTGTCTCTCTCACCAACTTTGTTTACTCAATGCAAAACACTTCATAACATTTACGAAATGTCTAGTTTCAGATAATTTACATTATATAACAAAGTGTAATTTGTTGAATTCTTAATTTTGTCAGGGCCATAAGTGAACAATATTGTTTCTAAAAATAGTAGGTCAGTGCCCATGTATTCGCATTCCTTCTTACATACACAAGAAATACTTCTTTTTTCTAGGTGCTGTGTTGATTATTTTCTCCATTATAAATTAAAACAGCATATGACAATGATAACAATAAAGGGTGATGGATGCAGATTACTATTAAATTTTGTTTTCTTCAATAAAAGTTTCAACAGTTTTCGAAAAAAGCGATAGATTCTTCTTCTGTAGTGATGCTGTGATCTTAATTTTCTTGTTTTCCTTTTGCTCCGATTTAAGTTTTTATCCATCATGCTTTGTTTTAAGAACTTGATAACATTTTCATATAGTGTGAGTGTATTTTACACAAAATATCCATTATATGCATTACTTCTGTTATTATCTATTTTGTTGCGGTCGCATATATTTGTGTATTTATCTCATTTGTTGTCTTTCTATCCTCCTCTACAACTTGATCTCCCTACTCGTTGTGCTTATTTTATCTTTTATCAGAGGACTACATGTGTATACATTGCATGCATATTCTTTCTCCTCATTATCCTTATCATCATTTATACGCATTGACAAGCTGTTTCGTTCTCTATGTTTTGATGTTTCTCGCTTTCATTTCATTGAATAGGTTCCGAATTTTTCTCAACTTTTTTCTCTTTCCCTGTCGACTTATATTCATTTATCTATTTACATTATTAATTTAATACATGCTTGAATCTAATACAGTCTTGTTATACAACATATTGTTTTATTTTTTATCGAAAACAAAAGTTATTGGGTGAAAATGATCTCATATTATTGTTATTATTATTATTACTATTATTATTATTATTATTATTATTATTATTATTATTATTATTATTATTATTATTATTATTATTATTATTATTGGTGATTACATCTCGATCTTTAGTTTCGCTTGCTTCTATCATCTTCCATGTATCGTTAGCTACCATTTCTGCTAACTGTGGTGTGATAGCCATGACAACAATGTCAATGATGGTAACGGCTGGTGAAATTATTAATTGTTTTCCTCTCTCTATCACGTTCTTTCTTATGTCTTTAGTCAAATGATCTTCTTTTTTACAAATACATTTGGTAAAAAATCTTTATATCTAAAACATATATGGACCAAATTGCGTTTTGTTTATGTACGTAACATTAATTTTTTTAAAATGTTAAATGATCACATAATTTTATTTGATTAATTCGTAACATTATTATTCGTGCTTATTGCCAGTACAATGTTCCAGTCCGAGATACCTAATTAAAAGAAATTGATTTAATGTACTATTGCACACCATTCTTTTTCTTCTTTGTGATCTATTCATTAATGACAAACAAAATATTGCTTATTCTAATCAGAATTATAACACTCAAATTAGTAGTAGTGGCTTTTTCATTAGCTATCTTATTTGATGTATGACAAGTATATATGCGCCAAATGTAATGTAAACAAATCTGTTTGTTTTTCTCCTCCACTGTAACACACCTTGTGTTTTTAATAAAAATCGAACCTACTTTCTGTTACATCATATTGTCGTCTTTACTATTATTGTTATGCGATTAATTTACCCTTACTCTTGTGGATATATTCCAGATCAACTATACATTGGAGATAAATGATGTTAACATTACAAATAAAAATGATTTTCTCTTACGGTTCGGTTTGTTTTTTAACAGGTCAAAAAATTGCTTTGTTATTCATGTATCCATTCATGCCAGCTTTCAATCATTAGGTCACAGACTCGATTAGTGTCTGCTACATTTAATCCGGGTTGGATATTCGGATGCTCAAACCGACCTTCGTGTTTTAAAGCTGAGTGCGTAAACTTACCGATTGATAAATGAATTGTGCTTTCCTGTTATAGTAATAATTCTAAATGGGGCGCTTTTTATTTAGGATCTATTTAATTTTATATTGATTTGGATCCTCCAACTTGCTTCTTCTGAAACACTGTTAAATTCTAAAGAATAATTGTATCAGTTTGGTTTGTAGGTTCTTATTAGTGGGCATGTGCATGATCGCTACCACATACAGATTCAACACTAGAACTTGTGAATTGATGCACTGTTGTTCTTAATATTTCTTTAATGAACAATTAACAAAAAACTAATTCATGTGTCAATCGATAAACTTTTGCACTCAGCTTTAAAACATAAAGGTCGGTTTTAGTATTCGAATACCCAACCCAGATTAGATGTAGCAGGCACTATTTGAATCTGTAACCTAATGATTGAAAGCTGGCATGATTGCTTATATGGATTACAAATATTCTAACAATGATCAACTAACATTCTCACTCATCCATGAATGTTTGCGATCAATATTGTTTCCACAACATCTGCGTATGTTGTCAAATTCAGCTGATTTCATCACCGAAAAACAGAAAAGGATAAGAGGATGATTTGCGAATAATCGTGGTAGCACTATAATGAGGGAAAACTCAGCTGCGGTAAACCAATTTACTGTTTAATCAATATCAAATGATACCTTTATGAAATATGGAAATCATACCCTAAATACATTGCACATTTTTTTGAGTTTTCCTTTACATGCTCCATCGTTCTTTTAATCATGTTGTTCTTCCGATTGCTTTCTGTTTTCTTTCCTCTTCATTTTTATCTACTGGTGAGCATTCCAATTCCTCTACATACTACTTATATCAGTCCGTATAAGTAGTGCATATCACAGCACTTCTTGAGTTTCTTAGTAATCAGATTCCCAATAGGTTGTAGATATTTTATGAAATATTCAAGTATACGTTATTGACGAACAAAATTAGTTAATTACGATAAATCTAGAACAGGACAGTCAATCGCAATAAATGAAAATTTTTGAAAGATGATGACACAGAAGGCTTCTAATTAATCGGTGAATAACCTCCAAAGTTTCCTATCTCAATTGATTCACCCATTTACGACAAGCCTTTTACCTCAAGAGAAGTAAAGTTTTCTCTCAAACGTGTTGGTGCATAAGTCTACCTTGTTTTTTGTTTTCCGCAAACATTTAGAAAGCTGACTACTGACTGGATTTGTGTCAATTCATTTCTACACTAATGATCATATACTGATTGAAGCATTATGCATACACTAAAAATGTTGAGAAAATAAAACATATCCTTAATTACGTATTATCTGTGGTATAAAAGGTAAGTTGTATAGTATGTTATGAGATCTAGTATACAGGAGACGTCACGCGTTTAATCCCCATCAGGATCAACATGAGAATCAAGAGATAGAATCTAAGGGTTAATCTAATTGGCTAGTCATTCCTGTTTTTACACCAATACTCAAATATTCTGCAATCACTGAGTAACTAAGTTCATGTCGCTACCCATAGTCTGATTTAAACTATTAAACGAAATTATTTTTAGTCATTATGGCTATCACGAGCTGTAACAGTAAATTCATAATGCTTATCAAGTATTAGTGCTGAATTAAAGAATGGTATCTAGATTAGAAAAAATTATTGGAAACAACAGTGTCCAAATATAATAATTTCAATAGTCGTCCAATCAATATAACAAATTGTTTACATACACTCAATGAGATATTTACCAGCTATTCTCAATGACAAACTTAAGTCCCTCTTATTTCTTGTAACTAAATATTTCTCATTTGTTCAAGGAATTTATCTTCAATCAGATTTCTGAGATTCGAACAGCCATGCAGTATAAGTAACCGGTAGACAATAACTACAGGTTGGAGCTTAAAACATAAATCCATATGTTTGCTAAGGTCAGATTTTTATTACATATTTAGCTGCATCCTGAATCAGTCTGGAATATCAAACAAACAAAGTGAATCGTTACATTTAGACGACCCCTAATGTTCACTAATCATATTGATTTATTATATAGCCAAGATTTATAGACGATGATGCGTAAGTTAGTGGATGCCAAAAAATATAAAGAGGAAGTTCAGTGTAATTATTCAGTAGTTTATTTTACTTCGAATAAAAAACAATGTTGTCATTCAGTAAGCTGTCACTAATATTATCATACTATATATATATGAATTGGCGTCATTTCATTTGTTAATTAGTGATAATAATCAAAATATGATAGTAAACTGACAGGACAAAATCGATCAATTTATTTTTATATGGAAAAACACATCAGTTTTCTTTGTTGTTGAGAGTATATAATGCCAAAATATCATGAGATCGATAAATTAAGACAAGATTCAAATGAATTTTTGGGTGCATTTTTTATTCTTAAAATTCAAACATTTTTTTAAGAAGAAAATCATTCTTCACATTTATTATATATACCAAATTATTTAGCTTATACATATTTACTCTTAATTGACAATAAAATTACTGTCGACTGATTGAAAAGGGGCCTCTCAGCAGCTAACGTCTACGACCCCGCATGAGAGACTCGGACCCAAGATTTTCGGTCTCGTACGAATGCTTAACCTCGAGATCGCTTAGCCCGGATCCAACGGTGTTTATGTCTAATGTCAACCAATATACAATATCGTGCAACCATCTTCCATTGCCTTCGTTGGGTAACTGCCACATATGACACGGTTGAATTCCACTGGTCACGGCTTCTCACTAGAACTCCAGGAGTTATATCCTGAAGCCAGTCACTAGTGAGCACATGATAATTATTAGTACAAGGTTCTAATGGGCTACAGGTATATCTGCAATCTTGGGGGAGGAATGATACTCCTTGTACTCAGTGGTAACGTTACCGATCGTGAAATTGGGTAACATGAGTTCAAACCATATAGGGAATAACATTTGCCCTATTGACGAGTGTCAACTACCACGAAACCTTGGTACAGAGCTTCCTACCAACCATCTAACACATCAAAATAGTTCACACAATGTCGGGTCACTTGAACTAGTGTCATATTGTAACTTGATGGATCCAACCCGATCAGTATTGAAAATGGTAGACTAGATAAACATGAAGTTGATCACTACTCAGTTGTTCAGTAGCAACTTCTTGAACTACGTTCCTGAATAATGTTTTACGCTTGAATTTCAATCAAAACATGAGTTTCTACAATAATACTGATACTTTTTTCTAATAAATAGGAACATATTCAACTTTAATTGGATAAGAAGGGAAGTGTTTCTATTAGTTCATCCTTCTCTAGATCATAACTTATATGATTATTGAAAGGTATTTTAATGATCATCCACTTGTAAACTTGATTACAACCTTGTATATATTTACACATAGAATTACATTTGCAATATATTTTATTGATAAAAATAAAATTGATTCATATCTAAATTAGGAGGCTTAATGTACACGAAATGAAGTGAATTCCCTTCATTCAAGAATACTTTTTGTTTGTTTGTTTATACTTTAGAAAAATTCTAAATTGATTTTCTACAAAATCTTAATAAGGAATCATGTGACTATTTTTTTTATTGTTTCATAGGTGTTTTCCAAAACAAAAAGAAGTTCGATCAATAGACGTTCTCAACAATGTTTGTTAATAAAATTTAAGTACAAAATATAAACAAAACTATCTTGTCTTTATGATGTAATAATAATAAGTTCATATGGCCACGCTTATATAGCCTCCGCCAAATAAGTCCTACTCACTGCGTTCTCGTGGCAGGGGTTTTGTTTATGAAAATGAGAGGACGAAAAGCGAATGTCCGGCGCTTTAACCGGATTCCAAACCAATGGTACACATGAATACCAGTATCCTGCGGGAATAAATGGCGTATGAACCAATTGTTGGTCACCGGCTTCCATGGGACTGCATCTCCTTACGATGCTCCACTGCCTTTTGGATCAGATCTTCAGGTCGAAGGCTCGGGGAGTGGCCCCCTAAGAAAACCACCTGTTTTGGTATGGGCACCCGGGCAGTATCACAGCCCTTACACATATCGAATGAGATTTGTTTGGCGCGTATGTATTTGGTGCCTCCTTCTACCAATATCTATGTGTTAAAATAAATACATAGAGATATTTGTACATATGAAAGTTGTCCACATTTTGTATGGTGATTCGTCTTTATTTTTCATAGAAATAAATTTTTATATTAGTTGGTGATAAAAAAAAAATTGATGTTGTCATTTTTAGAGTTGTTTTGAATGGACTGTATCAAATTATATGCTATATATTAGGTTTAAAATATATTGAAATAGAAATATGAAAACATTCTCTGTAAAGTAATGGATATTTGTAACATTAACTGGAAAGTAAGGTATGAGATTTAAATGTTGGTCAAATTTTTAAGTGTTACCGTTGAATTGTTTTCTCAGAGAAAATTTTCCGATCGATCTAGGTCAGATCCACTAATTTGTTAACATAATGTAACCTTTTTGGAATCTGTCTATTCAGTGTTAGCTAACCATTTAAATCTAGATTATTCACTGGTGATAATTGTTTAGGAGTCTTTGAATATATTATACAGTTCATTACAATAATAGAAAAAGAACATTCAAAGGATAATATTATGAATACATGAAATATATACTACTTAGTAGTAGTAAGACTGATAGGACGGCTTTACTAATACAATGTAATGATTCACAGCATCATTGTCATTGCTAGCCAACTTTTATATATGGTCTTGTAATAAACTGTCACTGGTCATAAATTGAAAAGATTTGAAGGACGGCATTCAGTTCTTAAGTTTTCTTCAATAAATCTTAATACTTAATTAGATAGAGTGTATGAAATT